ACGCGTTGCCAAGGCAATGAGTGCATTACAGGTCTGTAGCAAATAATGTCGGGGGTATCTGTGAGCAGACAGGAGGTTCCTTTTCTCTCTCTTTCTCCCAAACGTGTGCAAATGTATAAATACGTTTGCAGGCTATTTATCACGATTCTTTTTATTATTATTATCATATATTATAATCAGACCGTATTCACTTGTCTGGTTGTTTGGCTGCATTTAAGTCTGAGGAATTATATGATGAATATTCATCTGGCTTTGAGAAGTTATATATATATATACACAAGAAAAGTGTATTTTCTCCACTACAGAGGTCACTCGGCAATGCCTTTGTGCCTTAGACATGTGGAGGAAACCTTGGTTCTTGTCTCAGGGCCCGGTGCTGGGAGCTCTTTGTTGCCGCGTGACGCTAGCGACAGATGCATCCCTCACCGGTTGGGGTGCGGTCATGAGTGGCCACCCTGCCCGCGGTCTGTGGAGAGGTCGCCATCTGACTTGGCATATCAATTGTCTGGAGATGCATTTGTCAGTATGGTGGTGTGGGCATACTCGTTCCCAAAGCGTTTTCGACGCAGCTCGAGCTCCAGAAGGGGAACATCTCTAGGTTACATATGTAACCCTGGTTCCCAGAGGGAATGAGACGCTGCGTCGCGTTGCGATACTTCCTGCATCCCTGTGAGCGACTTGCTTCAACTTATCAGAAGCTAACGCTGCTTGTTTCGGATGCACTTTTAAGCTCTCTGGTCTCTACATCACCCTGCCCGTGACGTTTCGCCATTCCATTGGACTGATTTCACATGTGATTTAGAGCATGGGCACACAGGGGCGTTCCCATAGCGTTTTAGACGCAGCGTCTCGTTCCCTCGGGGAACCAGGGTTACGTACGTAACCTAGAGACGTTCTCGCCAAAGGAACAGTTCACTTAAAAATTGAAAAATCTGTCAATTCTGTCAAATCATTTCATGACATTTAAAATAAGATATTAGACATCTATACAAGAAAATTAGAAGATCTGTACTGCCAAGCACCAAAAATGTGTCAATATGATGTTTGAACTAAACTCCAAGCTTTCTGAAGTCATAAAAATCTTTAGGTGAGAAACAAACCAAAGTTCAAACCCATTTTTTTTTTTGAGAATCTGACATCATTGACTTTCATGCGTCATGAGATTTAAAAGCTACAGCAAAAGGTAAGATTGTCACAACGACTTAAATTTTTGGTCTGTCCTTTAGTGTTGATAAAGAAATAATACAGGGACGAAACAACATTATAAATGAATGACTTTTTTTTTTTTTTTTTGAGTAAGCTATTCCTATATATACATCAATATAAGTTTTGACTGTTTCAAAATATCACACTTTGATGCAACATCATTACCATTCATATACTTAAAAATAATGGGTTCAGTTCATCAAATGCATGTTCTGTTACACAGATTCAGATTTCCATCTCTCCTGCTTCCAAAGCATGGCTCGGGTTCTCCTGGGATACACTTGGCAAGTTCACTCCTAGATATTCCAAGAGGTTCTGAAGTTTGAATGGAGAGAGATGAGCATAACAGACGCTTTGACTCCCTCACTGAAGAATTTGGCGTGACTTCCGTTTGGCTGCAAGAAACAGAGGCCTTACACTCACATGGAAAGAGAAGGCAGACCCATGTATGCATGATTTATCGACTTCCACGATTACTGTCATGCTTGGATAACATTACATGATGCCAATTTTGGAAAATCTGTTTGAAATATTCAGCAGGATGTTTGAATGGATGAGACAACCTCATGACAAATAAGTTCATGGTCTTTGATCCCTTGTGGCGATGAAGTATTTCCCTTTTTTGAAAAAAGTCCAACTGGATTTTGCAACGTTTAGCACTTTGTAAGCACTAAAGAGTTTTTCATCTGCAGTTATTATAAATTAGCCACTACTATCTCACCTTTACCACAGAAGGACTGAATTATCTCTCACTCAAAAGGCAAAATTGGTCAAAAATGCCAATAATTTCTCTTTTTAGTTAACTGAACACTAAACCAGGACCTAAATGTTTCTATCACTCTCCATGAAGCACACACAAGCACAAAATACACACCATGTGCACAAATAACAGACACCACAAAACAAAGTCATTACAAATCTCAACAGGCATTTAACAATATCTACATATTTAACAATTATAAATTAAAATTGTGCAAATTGCCCCACATAGTTATCAGCGAAAATCATTACCATTATCATCACGTGATTGATGATCTAAAGAAAATATAAATGTGCATCATAATGCACACAAATGCCACAATATGGGGCATCAGCTGCTCATTGTCATTATAGGTGAAGTATGTCATTTATACGGCATTACTGACACTAAACAGAATTGTAAAAATTAATTTTCATAACAGACTCTCTATGTTCCAAATATTCAGACCAAGTTAATTTCAATAACTGAGAAAACCCATCTGTTAGCATTCTCATTCAACTTAAATGTAGTTGCTCTACATGTAAGGTCGTCAGTGAGGAAAGATGATTTTTGCCTCTATAATGGTGTAGTCACAGCATCTACCAGCAGGGCATAACTGCTAATATTAACCAGACAAACCTTAAAGGGTTAGTTCACCCAAAAATTAAAATTAGGCTGTGTTTTACTCACCCCCGAGGCATCCTAGGTGTATATGACTTTCTTCTTTCAGACGAATCCAGTCGGAGTTATCAGTCCAAAAGAAGTGAAATAAAAAGCGCCCATCCATAAAAATAAAGTGTCTTACACGGCTCTGGGGGGTGAACAACGGCCTCCTGTAGCGAATTGATGCGTTTTTGTAATAAAAATATCCATATTCAAAACGTAATAATCACTTTAATCTAGCTTGCGCCAACAGTTGCACACGGAAGCAGCTCCGGGCGGATGACGTATGAGGTTGGCGTTGCGCATGCGCCGGTGAGTCTCGTGAAAACCAACGTTTGTTTACGTGCATCACTTCTGAGTGGCGCATGCGCAACGCCGACCTCATACGTCATCCGCCCGGAACTACTTCCGTTTACAACAGTGAGCGCAAGCTAGATTAAATTGATTATTACGTTTTAAATATGGACTACTTCCGTTTACAACAGTGAGCGCAAGCTAGATTAAATTGATTATTATGTTTTAAATATGGATATTTTTCTTACAAAAACGCATCGATTCGCTACAGGAGGCCTTTGTTCACCCCCCGGAGCCATGTGAGACACTTTGTTTTATGGATGGATGCTTTTTATTTCATTTCTTTTGGACTGAAGCACTGCAACACCCGCTGACTGCAATGATAGAGCTTGGAATGGCCAGGACAATTTTTTATATAACGCCGACTGGATTCGTCTGAAAGAAGAAACCGGGCTCGGTTTAAGGCAACCGTGTCTAGTGTGAGTACACCCTTATTGTTATGGCTCAGCTGGGCCACTCAAACAAACAGATCCGGTGGCGCTAATGTTGTAGAAATTACACACTTCACCTCTACACTTCACCGCAATCTCATTTCAGTGTCTTGCGGTTGCATATTTTTTTATAGCATATCATATCTTGAACTGAACATCCTCTGAGTGAGGAACCATTTTGATCGATGTCTTAGGTTGTAATTTGTTCTAAATTTTCTCTTCGCTTTCTGGCTCTCGTCCTTGCAGTTCCTCCTACACTTCCTGAACAACTTTCAAAGCTCTATGGCAAAGGATTTGAATGCCTATTGGGAGATGAGAAGTATGCGAGAGAAGAAGCAGTTGCTAACTAATACTGACTCTTGAACATATCAACATGTCTGGTGGACAGTCATCTCCTCTGACCGCTGACACAAGGGAATCAGATCTGTCTCGCTACTCCATTAAGGCATTGACCCAGACCCTTTGAAGCATTTCACATATGGCTGTATTTTGCATGCTTGAGTATACCAAGCATATTTCCTTGAAGGGAGCAAATCATCGTGATTAATAGTGGCACATTCATCTAATGTTTACTTGAAGTCCTGTTTGCTATACAGAACCTGCTTTAAGCAACTTTCACCTCTGAAGATTGGGTGACTGATTTGTACTTCACTTACTCTGCAAGGTGAATCTTTCTGTTTTTGTTTTAATATTGGGGTCTATGACCTACAGAAAAAGGCACATGGGTAATACCTGTCGAAACTTGATCAGTCTATATCTATACCTTAGCTTGGCAATTAATTTCTAACAAAGACAAAGATGGTTTTAATTAAACTACACAAAAACAGCTTTACGTGTTACATGTACCCAAAAGTGTCAATTGATTGCAAAATATATGCAAACAAAATGCTGGTGTGTTGGTGTCACCACAAGGCTTCTTTGCTTACTTAACCAGCAGAATGTCCTTGACCAATCAGCTTCACCCATTTTTGGCTTTGCTGATCCATCGGCACCATATTAGCATAAACCTGTATGGAAATTCAGGTCCAAGTTGGTCTTTTCATGTGGGGTTCCTTCGATTCAAATGGAGCTTATGCACTCTGGAATGCATTACCCAGTTTAGTTAACTTTTTGACAAGTTCAGTTAAGTGTATCTCTTTCTTAATCTTCCATTCATCCAGAGGCATTGGTTGATGTTTGCTTTTGATGGTTCCTCTTGGACCCTGCAGTCCCAATGGGGTTTCTCTACTAAATCATCAACATCACAGACAGCAATATAAGACTAGAGGTAAGACTCTGTTCTTCATCATTGAGTTTGTTAGCATGTACATTTGTGCAAATCTTTAACATATATCCACCTTCTGCGCACCGCTGATCCTGTCTGACTGGGACAGTGTCAACTGAGCACCATGTAACGTGATGAACGGGTGTCCATCATGTGTCCATCAGAGAGGACAGTGCTCTCACAAACTCACACACAAACACGCACACATTCACACGCCTCTTGCTCCTTGCTTCAGGGCCCTCAGCCAGAAGAAGCGAGGGTGGTTGGGCTAAGGGTCTTCTTCTGCAAGACATCTGGAGCTCACAGGTTGCTCTTGGCATTGTCCTGTTGAATGCTACAACACTTTCCTCTGTCCACCATCACTATGTCCTCTGTTATCGAACTGCAGGTGGAACTATCTTGTGGTGTGGAGGTGAACTGCAATCCAGTACCCATACCATTCGAGCTGTTGGACACCAGCATCTGCTTCTCTTCTGGACTGCCGAGCCGGGAGGTAGTGGTAGCGATATCAGGCAGCCGCGAGAGGTTGGAAGGAGGGACCATGATGCTGCCACTCTTCATCTGAAGGGACTGGCTGTAGGTGTGACGGTACTCCTCCTCTATGTCCCTCCCAAGCTTCCAACGTCTCCATTTCTTCAGAATCTCAGATTGAACCTGACCAATCAAGAAGATGCACAGAATGGTTAGGAAACAGACGTGTGAGGACGGGGCCATCTTTGTGAGATTTTGTACATTTAAAAAAAAAAATTGAACTTACCTCCTTGTTGACGAAGCAATATAAGATGGCTACCAGCAGCCCCTGTGAACATGTCAGAGCATGAATAAGCAATTAAAAAAGTTGCTGCTGAAATGTCCAGGGATGCATTTCCCCTAAAATGACGTACAACTTGTTGCTTAACTACCATAGTATGATGCATTGTTGAAGAAATTATGTAGCTAGTCATGACTGTTTCCCAAAATTGTATTAATTGTGTTGCTCATCAGACATCCATGTCATGCTAACAACAAACTAACCACACAACTTTGCAATGCTGTTTGTGAATGTTCGTTTGAACTACAGTTTTGGGAACAGTGGAACTTATGATCATATCTGGCTAACAATGCTTTTGGGAAAAACACCACAGTATAGCTGATCACTGGTTTATGTTGCGTTTTGGATGCTGGTCCCAATAGGATGTTTGTTTTCCAAACAGGCTTTTTAACTGGCTGTGCTGGCAAGACTTTCTTGGTCAATCAACTTCACCAGAAGGTCAGACCACACAAAGTGATTTACCCAAGTAGGTCTTGTTTGTTGGTGAACATTTTTAGTTGATCACAAAGTAATAACTAAACAGTTCTAACTCTGACCCTACTTTTAAATTCAACCAGCACTAACCATCATAATCTGGCCTGGATCTGCAATTCAAGCTGTTCTTTTCAGCAGGAAATACCATACAATTTCTGTAGCTCGACTAGTTCATGGGTTTGATTCCCAGGGAGCACAAATGTATATCATGACTGTCCTGTAAGTTTCTTTGCATAAACATTGATTTTATTGCAAAAAGCTGAGCTAAACTTTTTTTTTTCAGGTTGTTCATAGTCAAACATAAATAAAAACAAAGAGCTTTCAGAAATCTATAAAAGTAATAATCAGTTTATTTTGCGAATGAGCTAAACCTGACACTTTGAATGAGTCCATTTAGTGCAATCTGCAGTAAGATATTCAAATGCCAATAAGGATGAAGTGTCGACAGATGGAAACATAACAGTCAAGCCTTATGGCCTCACTTGTTCTCTCCCTTACTCTGAATCTTTACGCATGTGAAAAATCTCATCAGGGCAATTCCTCCAGGCAGATGATACAAATTCGACACATTGCAGCTGCGCTCCACTCGAGTGTCATTACCAGTTTGTAAAGGGTGAGTCAGCCAATTTGTAGCATCTGCATCCTTAAAGCAATTAGTCCTGACACTGCAAAATAGCTACAGAATGTCAATTAATTTTTTTCAAAGCTGCTGCCCAATCAACGGACATTTAAAATGCATTGCTAATTTGCAGCATATGGGGCTTTTAAAGAGATTTTGGCAGGGTGAGGTGATTCTTCTGTTTATCCATGACTGAGTGGCATATAGAGAACATAACAATTTTTAATTAGTTATTATACCTGAGCTTGTTCTGAGCAATTTTGAGCTTGTTATGCATCTGTCAGCGAGGGTCAGAGTTGTGCGGCATTCAAAATTGAATTCACTTGAGAGTGCCTTTTAGATTCCAATTCAGTTTCTGAAAATGGTTTAGACTAATGAACTGAAATTTAGTAAATTCCTTGTCCCATAATTCCACTAAAACTTCACTAATTGAAAGGTAAACAAATCTAAAATTCAGAGTTTTGCTCAACCCTGGTTAGAGTGATGGGTTATTAAGACTTCCTGACCTGGAAGGAGTTGAAGAATAGGTCGATAAATAGCTTTGTGAGGCGCAGGGATAGAGCACCATGTGAGGTAGACTCATCAGTAACAAATGAAAACAGGACCGGATGGATCCCCAGTAACGGAATCAGGGTGAGGGTTGACTTAGCGAGCCTGAAATTGGAAGAAAAACACAAAGATAGACAGTTAATCTGGAAACAAATGCACAATATTGTGTAAATGCTCAAAGTTCACCCAAAAATACAAATTAGGTCACACTTTATAGTTTGGGGACCAATTCTCACTATTAACTAACTATTAACTATGACTTTTGCCTCATTAAACTCATAATTTGCTGCTTATTAATAGTTAGTAAGGTAGTTGTTAAGTTTAGGTATGGGGTAGAATTAAGGGATCTAAAACATGGTCACACAGAATAAGGCAATAATATGTGCTTTATAAGTACTAATATACAGCCAATATGCCATTAATATGCATGCTAATAAGCAACTAGTTAATAGTGAGAACTGGACCTTAAAGTAAAGTGTTACAGAAAATTCTGTCATTATTTACTATCCCTGATGTCATTTCAAACTTGTACTATTTTCATTCTTTCTAGAGTAGTTTAGGTATGATATTATTCTATACTTACAGTTTAAAGTACAATAACTCTAAGGACAAAGGCTTCATGTGGGGAACAGAGTGAAAAGTTGTTATATAAAGAATATCTGTCCACTTTAATGCAGGTCTCAAATTTCTTTCACGAATACATGCAAATAATTAAAGTATGGTGGATATGGTGCATTACCGTATTACATCATTGCTGTCAATGTTACAAATGCAATTGGTTTTCATGTCTCTTATAACCAATTGAGATGCAAAACATTTAAATGTTCTTTCAAAGCTATTGACTTCATAAAACCTTAAATATAGTTGTATGGGTTAATTTTATAATACATTTATTGACAGCTTCACTGTGTGTTTCATCAAAAGATCTTTTGTGTTTCACTGAAGCAAAAGGAACTCATAGAGGTTTGGAATAAATGATGCCCGGCATTTCACTTTTGGGTGAACTAACCCTTTAACTGTTGGACACCCACCGGAATTTGTAGTCAGAATATCTCATTTGGTGCGCCCTCAGTTTGGACACGAGGATCTTGATGATGTGTATGAAGATGAAAAAGTTAATCTGGACAGAGAAAAAAAAATCATAATGCCCTGGTTAAGACCATTATGTCACAAAACTGACTCAACAGTTTCCTCACAGCACAACAAATGACTCAAAATGAGGGACTGGGGCAGTGAGGAGTGTAGGGGGAAGGAAGTCAGCGATGCTTGGTGGAGTCTGAGAATGGCATTATTATTAGTCCAGTGCTCCAGCCCTGGGAGAATTCAAACATAGGAATTCCTGCCCACTACAGGAACACTTGAGACGCTGACAGATATGCAGAAACATAGCTGCACATTGCTAAATGCTCATCTGCACCTCGTAGCCAATGTGAGCATTATGGATGCACAGCAATTTTGCACAGTATTGCGCCTTTCAACGCAATCATGTGGAAATAAGACACTGGAGGAGGGGGTAAGTATTTCTTTGAAATCATAGCTGTAGACCCTAAAACATATTCTGTGTAGTAGCTTCCTGATGTACTGAGAGTCGACATCATATGGCGCTGTGCTTCGTGCATAATGGAAATTACTTCAATTTTGAATGTTGTGTTTAATGCTAAGCCAAATGCAATGCAATTGGGTGTGATGGGGTGAGCATAGATGGAAACTGCAGGGCATAAAACAGCATAACACATTTAACCTTACTGTGTTCTTCACATTCCTTCGATTATGTCAGAAAACAGTCAAGCCTGGGTCACAGTAATATCAGTATCATCAAAATTCTTACTATGTGTGAGGTGTGGGTGTAAAGATCGGGCAAAATAGGCAGAATTGGCCTTTTTTCATTTCATGAATATGAATTTTAATTGAAATGGCCACAGGTTGTTGAATTGGAATGGCAGAACAGAAAATGTCATTACTGAATTTCATTAGTTTTGTAATTATATTCCTTTTAATGTAGACTAATCATGCCAATTTATTCTCTGACACATAGAATTTTTGAAAACACACTACAATAAGGTTTAATTTGCTAGCATTAGTTAAGTTAACATGAACTAGCAATGAAACATACTTCTAAAGCATTTATTAACAATATGTATCGTTCATTTCAACATTTACTAACACATTAAAAGCAAAATTTGCTTCTGTTTATTTCTGAGCCCTTTCCTTTTCAAACATGGGTTGCTGAAGCTGTGGAGACATATGAAGGATGAGTCTGCATTAGAGTTTACTATAATCTGATTAATTTCTAAGTAAAACGGAATATTCAATGACAAAACAATATATATGATGGCCTTGTTTGATGGTGAAGTGATTGATTGATTGGGAATTGTGATATCAGCACATGACATACTGTATATGGAGCTGTTGTGTTTGCGGGTCCTGAACTCATTCCCACTCTTTCCTTCACTTTACTGTCCAAATCACCAGTATCCTAGATAATCAAGGCTAAAAAGCAATTTTGAATTCATGTTGACTTCAAGGGTGGAGGTAAAGTGGCATTACAGGAGGTAAAGTGTCATTAGCAGTGCTCTGAATATGAGACACTTGGGCAGATAAGTACAGCTGAGAGAGGCTGATGAGGGATCGAGGATCAAGACTCTCACTCACCAACACGGCCAGCAGGATTGGCGAACGAATAATCCACCAGTACTCCATGTTAATATTCTGCACCCAGCATCTGATCAACAACAAGAGATCAAATACATCACTGTAAATGAGCAAATATATGGCCTACTTATGTTCATTAAACATACTCAATACAGACAAAATGTAGTTAAACAAAGTTTACTGAAGCAACATAGGTTTACTTGAATTATCCATAGTTTTTTTTTATACATGTTAAATGTGAGTATCAAATATGATAGAAGAGTCTTTTGAGGAACATTTATTTGCATGTCTCTCAATCATCATTGTATTGCATTGCATTATTATTTTTATTTATTGATTTATGTATTTTTTGCCTCCAACAATAAAAAATACAGAGCTTTGTTAAAGGGGTCATATGATGCGATTTAAAGTTTTCCTTTCTCTTTGAAGAGTTACAAGCTCTTGGTGCATAAAGAAGATCTGTAAAGTTGCAAAGACTAAAGTCTCAAATCCAAAGAGATATTCTT